GAGAGAGAGAGAGAGAGAGAGAGAGAGAGAGAGAGAGAGAGAGAGAGGGGGGAGGAAGGGACTAATTCAGAGGGGAAAAGAGGGGGAGGACAGCGTGCTTCAAGGAGAAAGATATACATTTTCCTGTTGCTCTGACAGGCCAACACCCCTGTGCCTGCAAAGAAAGTGGAACGTTCCAGCTCGCTCTGGGCTCTGTTGTTGTGCAGAGCTGCAGAAGGCCTGATAGAGCCAGCTAGACAGAGAGAGAGAAGGAAGGGAGGGATACATAGACAGACACACACACACACATCTAGAGCTTGTGTATTCATTTCATCACCCAGATCATCCAGCGACAGCCAGAGAGGAAAGAGACAAAGGGACGAGGAAGACAAAAGGGAGATTCAGTGTGAGTGGGGAAAGTCAAAGAGGCAAGGTGAAAGAGGAGAAGGAAGGAAGGAAGGAAAGGGAGGGAGGAAGGAGACTGGGGCATGAGGAGGGGCGCCTGACTGACATTGCTGCTCCTGCTATCAGCTCACACACACACACACCGATGTAGACAGACACACACAGACGCGCATTAAGCCAGATTGTGCACTGCACAGTCGCTGCTCTTTTTATCCTTTCACGGAGCCTTGTCATACATCCTTTCTTCTCCTCTGAGCAGAGGACAAGAGACGAGGAAGAGGAGGAGGGAAAAGGACGAGGAGGAGAAGAGGAGGAGGGGAGGCAGTAACCCTCTCCTCTCCTATACCCAGACACACAGCAGAGAGACTGATAGGGTGAGAAGAGAAAAAAACAGAGAGAGAAAGCAGTTTTCTGTTCTATTTCGCCGTCTCCTGTGGTCCCTGGGCCAGCGAGCGGCTAACAGGCACCGCTCATGTCCGTGAACTCGGAGAAATCCTCGTCCCCCGAAAGGTAACACCTCCTCCTCCTCCTCCTTCCCTCTGTCCTCATCTATCATTTCAGCCCCATATGTCTGCGTGCTTGTCTTTCTTCTGTCGGGTTATTTTGCATCCCCCCACCAACCCCACCAGCACCTCCATGTTTTGTGTCCTCTCTCTTTCTGTTTCTCAGTTTGTGTATCCTAAGCTGGTTTCTTCTATTGTCTGGGTCACACCAGTCTGATTGTAGCGAAGGGGGGAAAAAAACAAACGCAGTAATTCATTGTTGCATGGTGCTGTAAGGTTTGTGTACATGCATACATGCAGTACACACTGAAACACCATCTTGAAATCAAATCTTTCACACACTTTTTACTCGGATACGCACTCAAGCTGCTGCCCCCATATGTGGCTGCAACATCTATGACAACAATAACAAGAACACACTCTCATACACACACCACCAACACACACACACACGCACAGACACACACACTCGGATACTATCTCTTTATGGCGCTGGAGCACAGAGCTTACACAGCAAGAGTGTCAACACACGTCAACATTAGCACAGCCAACAACAGCAGCAGCAGCAGCAGTAGTAGTAGTGCATCTCGGCAGCAATGCAAGACAACAGCTCGCCACATGAAGCACCTCAGTGCATGGCATTATTGAACACGACCTCTATACAACACCACGAGCACTTGTATCATATTTTGATCAGCTGCAATCATAGATTTACATTGTGAAACATTCAATAACGGTGTTGAGCATGAATAGCAAAGTTACAAGGCGCCATTGCTCACAAGGCACACTGTAGCTAATTGAAAATACATACAGACAAAGACACACACACACACACACCAGCATCATTTCAAATTCTGTCGGCAGATTATTTCACAATACATGACGAGCACATGTATCTAGGGTAGCCATGGTCCAGAAGCCATCCCCCCTTGTTATTCCATAGAGATTAATAGCCTCTTAAATCATTTGCATGCATTCATGTCTAATTAGACTCTACCAAGCAGACTTACAAGATCAAAGTGAGCACTATTTTATTTCTTACACAGTTTCTTAGATGCTCATCACTTAGAACATCTTTGCTGTTGTATTAGCTCACAGTTCTGACTTCAGTCAGTCGATTAATGAAGTCAAGTTTTCTTTTTACAAATTTCAATTGAAAAAAACAGACGATGTTGATGGTAGTTCGTTTCCGTCTCTGTTTCGAGCAGCGAATCCAAACGTGAATCGGTCAAAGTCGTGATATGAGTCCAAACCTCTTATCTGCAAGCACTAGAAACCATATCCATTCAGATTTAATCGGGCCAAGCCCACATTCCTCTTTCAGTGTGCAAATGTGGAAAGAGCTGGATTTGACAGACTGGATGACTCAGGTAGCCACTGATGCTGTGCCAAGTACGATCAGGCAGAGCCGCTGCCATCCACACAACGTAGTGCCAAGCCCCAGACTGGCACACTCAAACTCAGCACAGTGGGCACACAGATAGGCAGAAGTAAACGGGCACTAACAATATCAGGCATTACTACATGGGCAGTTGGGCACAGAGGAGAGCAGCGTCACATTGGCAGTTTCAGATATACATGAGGTGAAGTTTCATTCCGAGGAGCAGGCAGTGGATACAGATACACACATATATAGGCATCTAAGAGTGAATGGATGGAGGGAAATGATATCTCTATTTCTATACGTATGTCCTTACACACTAGACTATCATCTGGCAGCCCTGGCGTGGTGTGGTTTGTCATCACTCGGCTAGTTTGTCGCTGCCACTATTGTTTGGGTCACAGCCGTCTGACTGTAATTAAGAATAATGCAGCGGTCCCTTGTTGCACGGCAGGTAACAACAAAGCTCTACACTCATACACAAACTGCTGCCCTCTTTCAGCATCTCATATGACAACAGCAACAGTGCATGCAACTGCCGGTTTGAGAATAGGAAATAGCTAAATGTGTTCGCGTAACTAATCATGATGTTTTATCATCTTCTCTCTCTGGAGTGGTTCATAAAAACCTGATAACGCTATCCGTTATAAACCTCAGGAATAGACCAATACCGCCATGCTCAAAGCTGAACTGTGCGCCATGGATCAGAGAGGAATCTGCAGCTTTGTGAGTGTGACATGGACAGCTGGGGATGCCTTTTTGGGCTGGATATATGCAGATACCAAACACAGCAGGTCTTGCTTTAAAGAAGAGGAAGTGCATCGTTATACAGTTCATTGGCAGACGTTGGCTGCTCATGAAAGAGATTGATATTGCAAGGGATATGTTGGAAAGATCAAACTTATTAAGGTGCAAGTACAGTGTCGTATGGCACCGCCAATGTAAACTTATGGTAGTGTATGTTAAGATGGTGATATACAGAATTCTGTTGAATTCACTTGTTTATTAATGAAGCAGTAAATCAATGGTAAATGAATCAATTAACTGTTTTTATTATTGATCAATCACAAATATATTGTAGTAAATTGTTTTAATTTCAGCTTCTCAGATATGAGGATTTGCTGCGTTTCTCTGATTTATATCACTGGAAATAGAATACATCTGGTCGTTGGACTGTTGTTTTCATCGGTACTGTAGTAATAAGTTGCATCCATAATACAGATGACGGGTATTAGATTAATTTACTACTACATTAAGCAGCATGAACTGATTTGGATGTTTGACCTAGTCGTTATTTTTATTTTTGTGGTTTGTGTTTGAATCTATATTTGGCTTGTGTTTTGGGTCATATCAGCACAATTCTTCTGTCTACAACACCATCTGGGCCCCAGGTGCCACACACACACACACACACACACAAACACACAGATCTGGAGTGCTTCATTTGGGATGTGCAGCAACGTGTTTGTCAACAATAAGGCAGAATGGACTGGATAACTTATGCGTGTTAGACCAAATGGATGGATGGAGTTGAGCCTGAAAAGAGCAAGAGGCGGCACTGTGACAAATTTCTCTTGGAGCACTCGCATTAGGAAGACGATCCCTGTTGTGTAACTTGGCACTTGAGGCATGGCGTAGATGGAGATGGATGGAGGACAAGGATGGTGTGTGTGTGTGTGTGTGTGTGTGTGTGTGTGTGTGTGTGAGGATATGTATGTGTTTTGACATACTTGTTGCGTGTGAGCAGCTTAAAGCTTCTTTCTGAAGGGTGACAGCAGGGCTTATGTCCCTTTGAAGAGACTTTGTTTAAGGTTTAAACTAAAGTTTGATAAATAAAAGGTCAGGAGTATACCGGCTTTGTTGCAAAGCTGGCTCGTAGCTCTTGTAGCTGATGAGAGGAAGGAGTGCTGAGAGGTGGCGGGTAAACCTCACGGTCTTTGATGTTGATCGTCTCACCTTCTGTCGGCCTCTATTCTGGGGTCTGCGTGTTTAACTCAGCGTCATGCTTGCTTACAGTAGGAAATGTCACGTCCACTTCAAACTGTGCACGTAGTAGATAAAAGGTGACAGGCTGGGTAATGGTCCTAAATTAGCATGTAATCTATATGCATGATTCAAGCCTTGTTATTCTGCACCTTGTAAGTGTGATTGGATGATGCATGTTTTTTTACTGTGATTAAGATGCAAGGTGGGAGGTAAAAACAGATACATTGATAAATAAATGTGGTATCACAAATCCAGATGGATGGACTAAATGCTGTCTCCCATGATCTGATGTTAGGTAGTAGGAGGTCAAAACGAACAGTGTAGACAAATGCACACACACACACACACACACACACACACACACACACACACACACACCTCCAGCCATTTCCAACACTACCTAGACATTTCCATCTCATCTCTTCTTTCATCTACTTGACACCGGTTGAAACGCAAGTTACAGGATACATGCAAATGCTTCATTGCAGCCTCCTTCCATTTTGAAGAAAAATGATCAGCGACTATTTTGATTTTGATTTATCATTTCAGTCATCTTTCAAGCAAAAACACCCAAAATTTACTTTAACAATTAATTATTAAAAATGATTATCTGTCACTAATCGATTAATCGACCACTTGTCTACGCTTTGAAATAAACCAGATCTGCGTATTGGGAAAAAAAAGCTTATACACAAGCAAAGGATAAAAGGGAGGAGAAAATGGCAGACAGAGCAGCAGCAGCAGAGGATGCTGTGCGATGTGTTGGAATGTGTCCAGTAGGTCAGTCAGCCAGGCCGATACAGCAGACAACATCACATCCAGCACTGGATGATCGTGTGATGGCAGTGATCACATTTACAGAGCACATGTGGCTTCGACTGGCCTATATGGCCTCCACCATCTTCTCTCGTCCGACCCCCATCGCTACAGATGCGCACAGGGCACACAAACACACACACACAGACATCTGCAGCCCCAGCCATGCAGCGACATGACAATAGCTAATGAAGCGTGGCAGGGAGCTAGCTCGCAAACTAACTGGCCTGCCCTGCCTGTCTGGCTTCCTGGCCTCCATTATTCCCACCAGCCCCCCTCATACATCTGGAGAGAAGCAGATGATGACTTTGACTTTCTCTGCGCCCACCTCTTTTTTCTTCTTCTTTGGCTTCTAATCTCCATTTGGGACAGACTGGGAAGGAGACGTCTTCATGCGTGACATCTCCTCCATCCCTCCGAGGCCTTTTAGTGATGTAGCAATGGTAAATAGAAGCGCATGAGGGTGCTTGTGTAGTTAAAGCTGGTTTGACATTTGTAGGCCTCCTAAACAGGTCTAACCGGACTGCAAAGCACATTTATGTCGCCTTGTCCCCACAAAATAACGCTGGGAATTTCCACACAAATCCTATGTGGTTAATCAGTAATAGGAATCACTGACTCAAGCATCCAGCAACAAGACACCTCACGAGTGGTGTGTCGAACCCGATCGCCATGGCAATACCCCAGAGGAGTGGGTCATGTTATCCGAACCCAGGCTCATGATCTAGTCTCGGCAGGTTTGTGGTGTCAGCGAGCGTAGTGTAGGGTCAAACGTCACGCCGTCGTGGTTGAAAGATCAATACACAAGCAGGGTGATGCTGTTAAACAGTGGTGCTTTGAGCTAAATGCTAACATGCTCACAGTGTCAATGCTAATGAAGTTAAGCATGCAATCATGTGTTTCATGTTAACCATCTTAGCTTATTGTGTGAGCATGCTAGCATTTTGCTCAAACAGATGAGGCTTCTGGGAATGTAATCAGTTTTTTTCAGGTCTTTGATCCCAAACCGACGCAAAGGGGAAAAAGTCAGGGGGTCAGCAAGGCATTAGGGTCCATCCTCATGGTGATCATGAACATCTGACCAATATGTCATGACAATCCTTTCTGGTCCAAAGTGGTGGACAGACATGGCCTTTCCTAGTGCTAATGTAGCCACCATATCTAAAATGTTTGTCATAGAACAATCACCACAACATGTGTTGCATCTAAAGAGCCTCCTCTATTATTTTTGTCAGTATGCCCTGCGTTTCCCCCATGATATTGCATTTACCTTGGATATTTGTTTTGTGTTGACTTTTAATGTAACAGCACACTTTACCATCGTCAACACTGCACAGCATTCCACAAATATTCAGTTGGTTTTGGCGAAAGATTTGAGCAGCTTAGCTCTAAAACTTTTACTTTGTTTAAAAAAGTATTAATTTTGCCATTGGATCCACATGACAAACAGCAAGAGCGCTTATCACTTTGTTGGGTTTGTCTTTCTGATGCTTTAGACTTTGAGTGTTTGTGTCCAGTGCTCTCAGTCCCCTGTTGACTCAGTATGTTTACATATACAGCATTCCAGTCTTTCCTGTGCTGATCGCTCACTCTCTCCCTTTACTGTCTTTCATCTGTTCACTGTCTCCTTATTCTCTCCTCTTTCCTTTTGTTTTTACCTTCCATACCTCCCTCTGCCCTCTGGTGTTGCTTCCATTCGGGAGGTTTTAAGTGTCTCTGTTGGAACCAATCATGCAGTACTTTTCTTTTAACTAATGGTGACATTGGTCATGTTCATTGACTGTTGCTGTATAATTTTTGATAAAAGCCAATCTTGATCAAAATTGCTGCATTTGTGAACATTGAAACTAACAAAATTAGATTTGAATCCAGTAAAAATGTATAATTTGGTAATCTGACCTAATTTTCTTTTACAACACACATGTCCTATTTGGTTACAGTAGCAAACTCACTCTGGGTCCATAAAGTGGCATTCTTGCATTGCTAGTTTATTGTTAAACTGTGCACCAAGAGGAACTCATTGGTTTTAATAAGCAATTCCAACGATGCTAATAATAGACTGTATTTCCATTATGCAACAAGAGCTCGTTGAAGGAAAAACTTGAGGAAAAACATTCTCCTTTAGTTCCCCTGTCTTACTAAGTAATGCCTTTAGCTGCAGTGTGGACAGTTAGCATGCAGCCAGGGCCTTTCTCTCTTTATTTTACAGCTATCTGCCATCAGCGTATTAGTCTTTCTCGAATCGACTTTACTGCTACGACACTCTGTAAGTTATACTCAGCAGAAACAGGGAAACGGTGGAAAAGTTAGGGAAGAAAGAGGGAGGACATTTTATTTTTTTTATTTCATTTTTGGAGGAGACGAGCAGTGGAACGTGGTACAAAGACGATAGCCCTAGAAGAAGAGATTATAAAGCCTGAGGAAGAACGCTGGAGAGAGAAAGACCAAGATTGAGCCACAGAGAGCAGAGAACAGGAAAGGACAGCCGAAACCTCAGGAGAGAGCTGATGGAGACGGCTGGGGAGCCTCGGATAGACAAAAGATGGAAAGCAGAAGGGCGAAGGAGAGGAGTGAATGTGAGGGAAGATGGAGGGAGAAGATAGATGGCTCTGCAGACTTGCGCAGTGTGTTGGGTAATGCTAGGTCACCGGGGGACTAATCTCTATTGATGCTGCAGCGTTGAAGCAGTAGAATGATAATGGTCTGTTTGTGTGTGTGTGTGGGGGGGAACATGTGTTTGTTTGTGCGGCTTTGCATATGGATGTGTGTGAAAAGATAACACGTTTGCATTTGAAGCTACCACTTTTTTTTGTCCCCTTTTGTCTGCTGCTTCAGTCACACACACACAAACACATACGCGTGTACATTCTTGCGCACATAACCCCTCATCTACGCCTCATGCCCTGTAGGACTGAGTCACTCATCTGCTGCATAACTGAAGAACAACATCCATCCGTTGTGTCTGAGGACACTGTTCAGCTGTTGTCTCGTCCTGCAGCGCGGCCATGGGTGTTGTTGTCGACCCACATCAGGCCCGAGTGGGTGGGCTTTCTCGAGCTGTGGGCCCTTGAAACACTTCCAGATTGTCAACATGCCAACTCTGCACGCTCGGCTCACGCCCGGGCCTCTAGTTTTAAGATCTGTCAAGTGGCGCTGACGTCCAATACGTCCAATGTCTTCCTGTTGGCGTTGGCACACACTGCAGAGAAGGGCGTGGCCATCTTGCTGTGTGTACTCTCCACTGTTATCTGGAGAGAGAGTAGGACATGTAGGCACAGTCCCGATGCTAATATGAGAGAAAAGTATAATGAACTGTGTTTGTGGCTACAGCAGAACGTATGTTACTGTTTGATTTAAATGTGAACAAAGTCACAGGGTATACAATGCTCGAGCTGGAATGATTTGTCAATTGATTTGTCAATCATTAGATCAATTAGTGGATTGTCAGAACAAGATTCGACAATGTTGTCAATTAATTGTCATTTTACTGGGTGATTCAAGCTTCAAATGGGAATATTTGCAGTATCTTCGCAGTAATCTATCAATTCACTTCAGTTTGCAGTCACTAATTAATTAAATTGACCCTGCCATTGACTGTAGGTTGAAGTCCCTGAAGGAAATATTATTGAAATACTATACAGGCCGTAAAAAAACAAACTGAGTGAACTACTGCTCCAATTCGCTTCTTATTCTTGTTGTTTCCCAACTACAGGCCTGCTGAATACAATAACACATCCAGCTGCCTTTGTGAAACATTAGGCATAATCAAAAAGAAATGTCACATATTGTCTTTGTTATTTTTATGCAGACTTAATTGGAATTAAGTTAATTATGCCACTTAATAGAATAAGATACTAATACCCTTTCCCCACCAAAATGAGCATGAAAATGCAGGATTTTTTAAGCACAAGAAAGCCCACTAAAAATAGCCAGAAGACTACTTTCCCACTGCCAGCTGACAAGCATGCCGTTGTTTTGGTTTTTCTGGTGTGTCACTTCAACGTCATGAACGTGCCAGAAAACAGGGATAGTAAACAGTAAAAAAAATGATGGCTTTGCACATAACGCTGCTGGTCTTTCTGCAGGTGAGCTGACCGTCGCCTTGAAACTAAAAGCAACCTTTTCTACTCTGTCCTAACAGCTATATGTAAAGCTTTGACTCCAGACAGTGGTATTTTAGTGAGCTGACATTCAAAGCATATCATAAAATATTTTTGGGAACAGAGTCTGGAAGCGTAATTGACACTGGATGTGTTTTCAGAGTGCTCAGAGTGTATTTTAGGGTCATGCTGATGGAGGGGTGCTAATGTGTTGCATTTCAGATCTGTATGTGAGATATGGTGTGTGCGTCTGTTTTGTGTATAAAATAGATGCATCTGGGCCTATGTTACAGTACTTGTGTGCATTAGTGCCTTCATACTTACTTACTCCAAACTGGGCATTGAGAAGGATCCTTCCCATGTGGGTGTCACAGTCCCATGTGAATTCAGCTGGAATTCAAGGCTGGGTTCGTCTCGTCCCTCCACTGTTGTATCCGAGAGTCCACAGCTGAGAGCGGGAGCTACTGTACGGTGTCCTCTTGCGATCCCTCTTACCTACCCTATGGAGTTAAGCTCGTGTCTGACCACTAAGAAGAAATGGGGTCTGGCTTTGTGCGTGCTCCGCCTGCACCACAGGGCCCTCCGAAACAGGTAGAAGGGGAAAGAAAAATAAGAAATAACGAGGGAAATAAAGTGTCAAAAGGGTGCTGGATTGACCAGACTAATAGACAAGGTTCAAGATGAGGTGTGACTTCTTGTTTTGAAGAAGAGGGGCTGTGGTCATTTTGTTTTAGCTGAAACATTTCATAAATCCAAAATTGCTTTTCAATTAACACCGCTCTTTCTCCTCCCTTCCTTATTGGTGGGAGTTGTGATCGGACAGGAATACCTGCAGACACTACTCAGTGTTTTATTCAAGTGTTAAAGAGCTGCAACGATTAGTCGATAGGTTGATAGGTTGATCGGTTGATTGGCACCAATTTTGATAATTGATGAACTGTTTCAGTGATTTATCTAGCAAAGAAAACCTTCTGATTTGAGCTTTTCCAATGTGAGGACTTGCTCCTTTTCTCTTTCTTTATATTGCAGTAAAAAGAATATTATAGGGTTTTGAACTGTTGGTCGGACAAAAGAAGACATTTGAAGGAATCTCTGATCTTTCCACTATTGTTGGACATTTAACAGACCAATTGATTAATCAAGAAAACAAAAGGCGGATTCATTTATAATGAAAACAGTTGTTAGCTGCAGTCCTAAAGTTTGTTTTTAAGAAAGCAAAACCTGAGTCAAGATTTCAGTGCTGCAAGATTTGCCTTGGTCTTGAGATGTTTAGAACTGAAAGACAACATTGGAAAAAGACATTAGGCAAGCTGTTTATTGATTGTATTTTGAGAGTGAATTTCTTTTCAGAATAGAATATACTTCTGAAAAAAGGGGTCATAAATAGTTCAACCACTCTTCACAAGCGTTAATGTTTTTCAAGCATTCAAAGCTTTCCTTGTTGAGCTTTTTGCGTTGCTGTCGCACATTTGACTCACTTACTTTTGAGTAGACCACACTCATTATAGCATCGCGGTTTAAATCCAATCAAATGATGCTTCTATTTGCATTGCTGCAGCTGATGAAGCTGAAAACAGTAAACAGCCTTGAATATGTCACACCAGAGAAGGTCCAAAGATAACACGTCTTCCCTGAAACACATTCAAATCAACAACCGCAATTTTGGTCCTTCGTAGAAAGGTCATTTGTAGAAATTGAATTTGGAAATGTATGTGGTTTTGGACACTTACATGGAAAAAACGTCAATCCACATTAACACGTGAAAACGAGCTATTTTTCTTGGATTGACAGGTCTATGTTGCATGTTATTGTAGTGCTGAGGCACAGCTATATATATATATATATATATATATATGTATATATACACACACAGTATACATAGATCTCATTAATGGTGGAATCCTCTTTGATTGGCAGTGATTAATAGAAATGATTTAGAGCCTGCTTCACAAAACTAGTAACGCTGTGTTACTTTTCAGGAGGATTGTCTCTACCTAGCTCGACTTGGGGCCTTTGCTGTCAATGAAGCCCCTTGGGAGTGTAGAGCAGGCTGCAGCAGCAGTGCTAATAATTAACAGTCTCAAACCAGCAAGTGCATGATTCTTCTGTGTTGTTTCGAATGGCAGATTAAAATGTATATAAAAAGAGTCTACATTTCTCTTCAACAAGACATTTACAGGGTTTTAATTACTGCAAGCCATTGTGGAGCATAGTTTATATAAAGTTAAGTCATTTATTAAGACACAGGAGTTCATTATTTTATCTTTTTGCCTCAATCTAAGTAATGTATGCATGCTTTTCTGCAAGGACGTCAAAATATCTGCCGTTAATCTGGTTTGAACTTCTGAAATGGAATATTACAACCTACCTTCAAAACTGTGGACTTCTGACTGCGTTGGTTGAACTTATGGTGGAAGGGATAGTTGAGATGTGTGTTAATGGGGTTGTATGAGGTACTTAACCATAGTCAGTGTATTACCTACAGTAGACAGCGGCCAGCATGCCCCCCAGCTTAGAGAATCAGACAGGAGTTACCGCACGGTGGCAGAACTAAAGCTGTTGTATCAATCTATGCTCTCGCTAAAGCCACCAGACTTTGACTTTTTTTAAAGTCACAGAATAACACAAACGAGCTAACCGATCACGGCAGTGGTACACTAGACCTTTATGGAGTGTTCTGATCCTTTTGCATCCCTATGTGGGTCATGTACCGCAGGTGATGAACATTTCATACCATTGTATGAGAGAATACAGTTGATTGACATGTTTGGGTATTTACCGTTTGTGTGCCTACAGTAGTTTGCGTTTGCATTTTACATACGTACACATGGCTTCTTTTGACTCCCGCTTGCTGTAACTGAGTGTGGGCGGATGTAACCTCCATAATACCAGGCTTTGTGGCCGGCTGACGTCATTGGAATGTATAAATACAGAATGCAGTGAATGAGTGCACAATATTGAAAGGGCTGCATAGGGTAAAATGCACCACACAATGAAAGATGGAGTAGATACCCGGCGGCTCTGTGCATAGGAGGTGTTGTTAGATGTTTCTATACTGAGCAGAAGAAACCATGAAGCCCAGAGTAAGGGCTTCTTGTGCAACAGACACACATGACACACACAAAAAACATGAATATTTTCTTGGGGCGCATCAATGTTTTTGTGTGTTTGGGGATGTGGATGTCGGTCTTTGTGTTTAGGAGATAGAAATGTGCTTGTCCCACTCGGTCTGCAGTCGTGTCACTTGACTTCCACTGCCTCAAGGCGTTGTGTGTGTGTGTGTCTGTGTGTGTGTTTTGTGTACACATGCGCACATGCGCCACCCCACCAGCCATGTAGTGCAGTGCTCCTGATTTCCAAAGCAAATTTTAATCCGAGTCAACTGGTTTTATCACAAGGGTTTTCCTTGCCTTTAAATGTGTTTGCATTTGTCCCCCTGTGTATTCGTGTACGCTATGCATTATATACCTACTGTAGACTTCAGTCAATGCAGCGTGGCATGTGGTCCTGTATCCTTCGGCTGCCTGTGGGGCACACAGACGACAGTCGATTCTGCCTCTATAGATCGGTGTGGCCTGAATCCTGCGAGTACTTATGTTTCTCTGTGTCTATTCATTAGAAGCTACAGCATTTAGCTTAATCATGGCGAGCTGCACTAATCACTGCAACCCCATTATATCGTTCTGACTAAACTACGGATTACATTCATGATTTTAGCCATTTATCTGATGCGTTTATCCATAGAGACATACAGTGAAGTGTGTGAGGGGGAACCAGGGCATTTTCTTGTGTAACAACATCTCTGCAGGATGCATGGCTGTTGATAAAACACATATTTAGTGTTGTAAAATTCATAGATTCATTTAATTGCATTGTGTATATTTTGCAATGTTGTCTAGCTGGCTGGAGCGCCTTAGTTAAGGAATCAATTGTATTGATCCCTTAAAGGAAATTCAATTGTTACAGCAGCTCAGGGAACAAGAGGTAGATGATGCAAAAGGGCAATCCTAATCTCAACATGAAGAATGAAGAAAATAGAAAAGAAAAGAAAACACTACCTGCATGGAAAATAAAACAGGTTTTGTGCAACTGTATCTGTGCTGTATAATGAATAAGTAAGCTGTGTTATCAGCTTATCTAATCATGATAATACTTATCTATTGATTTGTGCTCTGAGGAGCCGGTGAGATTCCCTCTCTCTACTGCCTTCTCCTTGATGGGAGCCCTACTAGATCAGATAATCATTGAGAAAATCAATCTCTAGCTCCTTAGTCTTTCAAGAGATGCAATTTAATCTTTTTACAAATGTTTAATTAATCTTTCTATTTGACCTCTGTGCTCCTTTGCATTGCTCTCATTGATGCATCCAGTGATTTAGGAGTCATCAGAGGACACTTGGAAGGAGGCAACAGCTCCACAACACATTCCAAACACACAGTGCACAATATCCCAGTCTAACATTACCGCTCATTTTGCGGTGTACCTGCAAGCTTCTCGCCAAGCTTGATGGGCTGGATGGTTTTGAAAGCACTGGAGAGGTCAAAGGTTTAACGTTCCTCTAGGTGACAGTAACACATACGTTACTCACCAGATGTTTTACACAGCCAGTCTCTTAAGGCTCTTCAGGTTAGTGATACTGGTCATTTGTGTGGAATGTTGCTTCTTTGAAACCAGGTTCACACAGCCTGGATCCATACTATGGATCATGGTCCCATGTGGCTATTGGAGGGAAACTAAAAACATTTTCAACATTAAGGATGTTGCAAACTCACCAGAGGAAAGGCAATATTCTTAGCAACTTATCAGGTGAACACAAATCAATGTCAGGTGTTTAGTTACTAAAAATATGATTCAATATGATGGAAAGGCTAGTGATTTCAATTCATGTTGTAAAGATGTTAAAAACGAAATTCAGAGCATATCTATTGCCTCCACACGGCTCTCTATGTGGCGAAGGCAGAGCTGGTGGCTCTAAAGATGACACAAGGTTTTGTCCTTAAGAATGCTGCTGAGTAGCTTTGCTTTCCAAGTGGTTGGAAGCTATTGTAACAGTATTTTATATATAAAACTGCATGAGTGACTGAAATGTTCAGGTTTTAGAAAATTAAAAAAACAATGGATGTGTTGATTTAAAAAAAGGTTAGCTTAGCAGATCTCCGTAGCCTGCTCCCCATCTCCGCTTGAGGCCAGCGGCTAGTGGCTACATTAACTGCTACTAGCATAACACAACTGAATCTGGTCATGTGTGTGGGTAATGTAGGCGCCAGATTTTGTCAAGGAAGAAGATTGCATGGAATTAAAAAGATGATATCTCTGGTTGTGCTGCATTGTGTCCATTGTGAGTCCAACAATGCAAGGCTAAATCAGTGGAGCGCTCATTTACATGCACTGGGGCTGATGCTATCTGGGCCTCTCTTGCCTTGTTGATCCACCCTGTTCGCTGAGGAAAGTCCCCCTGGAGTTCAAAGACTCAAAGAAGCAGGAGCCTTTTTTTCACATTCATATTGTCTGCTGTATGGGAATTTAGCATTGCACCCTGTGGTAATGTATTGAAATGATGGCTAGCGGTATGAAACGGGATCCTGCTGAGCCATAAGGTGCAGATAGAGGTTACGTGGGGGCAGTGCAGTCAGAGACGGCAGGCTGCATCCTGAAAATAGAGGTGAGACACACACTCCGGAGGAGAGGAGAGAGTGAGTCAGCTGTCCGACAGAGAGAATGAAAGATTAACGATGAATCAATCAGAGGTAGGGACTGTTGGAATGGTTAAGCAGAGCTGAAAGACACCCGCAGTCTGAAACCCACGCCTCAACATTGCGAGTGGAGGATGATGCTCTTGTTGCTAAGGAATACCTGTTACCTTGGTGATAACGAGACATGTTTAAGGATGAGTCATCAAGTTGGAACTCCGGAGCGGTCAACTGTTCCGTGCGGGTTCTCGGCGGTCGGAGATGTGTCGGCCACGCTCCGTGGTTTTCTTTGTCATTAGCAGCAGGATACATCATTGATGTCAGTTCTCATAAGGCATGCAGATGACATTTTTTGTTTAAATTAATAAAAAAGACACGGGAGGATATAGAAAACTGCAATTCATATTATTTTTGTCTGGTCTATAAAATTCAGAGAAAAGAAAAAATAGAAAAATAAATTATTGAATTGCAGAGAAAAGTGTTCAATATGCATTTTATTCTTTTCATAGAAAAATGCTGAAATGAATAATGTATTTTTGCAGCTATTTATTGCACAACTGCATGTATTTTGGCCCGGCGATAGCAGAAAGAACAACACTGACACATCATAGCAAAGTGGTCATTACTCATCACTCTCATGTCTTTTCACTGATGTTTTCAAGAAAAGAAATCTTTTACTTTATTTTTTTCACGTTTGGTAGATATGTGTCATTAAATGGGACAAACACAGTGAGACCCAGGTTCCCCACAAGCAAACACAAATAAATGAGCAATTGTGGAATTTTCTCAACTGGTTCAGTTACTAAATTGGTTGTGGATGGAGGAGTCGCCACGCAAGCAGAAAAAAACTCAACAGCAAAAAATATGTATGGACTGGAATTCTCAAAAGGAACTGTGTGTTGACAACACAGAAGGCTGATTAAACTCTGTCTCTACCAACATCATCATTTCAAAATAATCATGTCCAGTGAAATATTTTCTCACAGCTCCATACCTTTTAAAACAACACTGGGAGTTGTCCCTATATGCAGATTCATGGACCTCAAACGTATTAATGCATTGAAAGACCCAGTGTAAAAGTGATGGGATTCAACATGAGAATAGCATATGAACTATTTATGTGGTTGTTATTAAAAGACATCAGTGAGCCCCATGATTGCTGCACCAGGTGAAATGTTGGTCCTTGAGTCCACTTACACCATCCTGCTGCTGTAAATATTAACTAGAGAGCCAAATCACACTCCCTAAGAATAACACTACAAACTACAGGGCATAGCTGTTTTAGCAAATTATTTAGACATAATGTTATTTAACAATTAAAGTGTATATTCATGACCTATTTTTAAACTGCATTGTCATGATGACAGTGTGATGACAGTGCTTGTTTTGAGGGTAGATCTAGAAGTTGTTTCACCTTGACACTGTTGATATTTTCGGTGCTACCCTGTCAAGTCAGCTATTTACAGCAGCAGAGTGCAGACACGGTTAAACTACGTGGTATGATGAGGAATTTACGAGGAAAAATTGCTTTTCGATTTGTAAGGGATCCAGTCGGATCGCCTTTATTTTTCAATACTTTCCACAAACCTCAGCTCAAAGTAGCATTCCCACTGCGGCCATGATGAACTTGTGCAGATGACAGAATTGGTTTTCAGGTGTGAAATATGGAGTTTGGACATTCTCCTCTTGTGATTAGCAACATGTCAAACCTTTCATGTTGGCTTAGTGCATCACAACATCCGAACTAATCCCGTCACGAGCCATTCTATGTGTGAACGGTCTTCTTTAGCGGGTCTTTTGTGTGATCATTTTCAGATAAAGCACGCTGGATCTGGAAAAAACGTGCCGGGCTGTTGAAAATGTAACACTGGCACTACAGATGCCATCGCCGGGGCGTGAGAGTGGAAAAGGCTGACACTGAAAACGCCGGGTAGCGTGTGCGCTCAGATCTGTCAGATCTACACTTACGCTTGGGTTAAGGTGTAAGAAGCAGCCTGGACATGTCCAGACACATGACAACATGCTGAAGGATGGAAGGCACATTCTGCAGCCATTTACTTACCAGGTTATAGGCTGAGAGACTCCTGTCTCAACCTGTACCTCCGCAGTGTATGGGAACAGCGCTGCCAGTTTCAAAGCAGTGTTTCACCAATGTAGTATGTGCATGAAAAAAATAACTGTAATGCCCTATTGTAAACATTATTGCAGGAGTGGACAATGCCTTCATAAGCTCAGCAACAAACACACTTTTACATGTAAACACAGAAATACTTTAACTGTACACACAGGACATTCTTGACGGTTCATGCTTCTCTCCCTGTGCCTGGAGGCAAGGTGATCACAAACGTGCACAAACACTCTTGTCAAGCCCAAGTACTCAAGTGTTGATGCCGATCAGCTCTTCCATTATACCCACCTCCAGTTAGTGCTGGGTGCATTTTGTCCTACCAGTGAACACGTGGCTGGCAAAACGACAGTGATCATTTGTCATAGAGTTGTGGTCGTAAAACCTTTATGGTACCGTGGCACACAAATAATGTTGTATGGCTTTTTACCAGCCGCGACAGCGTGAGTGATCACGGCGAAATGTGGCCCTGGAGACACCTGCTGTATCATGAACTGCCACAGGAGCGGATTTGAGTGCTTTGCCAGGTGTTTTTGTCTGTTTGTCAGCATATTTTGTCGCCGCGATAGCGTCACAACCTCGCAACACGCAGTCACAAAACGTTACAGGTGTGTAGTTGGGAACAAAATGAAGGTCTGATTTGGCGTCACGGCTGGTGTGATGCCATCGCAAGGTGTTCTCGAGTACCATATTGTTTATGATCTTTGGCTTAACTTGAACTATTTAGAAACGGATTCAATTAAGTTTTAAGTTACATAAACGGTGAGGGGTAAACGTACGCGCGAGGTAGAAGTACACCCTTTTGGTTGAGGAGCACGTTGATGCTGCTCGTGTGTAAATTCAGGCCAATCAGTTGAGGACATTGATTATTGCACCTTTAACCGGAGGAGAAAGCATGAAACCCTGCATAGTGTTGAAACTCATTTTAGAATCACTAGTTTAAAATACTGGTTGTGCTGGTTTGGTTTACAATGGTTGTGTAGATTTTACACTGAAAGAGATCATAGCAATCATTTGTTCTTGTGGAGGATAATAAAGAAGGACAGTGTGTTACAGATGTGAAGCCCTCTGTACAGTTCAGCGGCGTAGTTCTGGTCTAGCAGGATGTCTGTTGACACACAAACAGGAGCAGAAAGAAACACACCATCATCTTAATTTCTAATTACACAAATGTCGCACAGTGTGTTTGAAGGTAAATGACCTTAGTGCATTGTTGTGCTTTGGTGTTCAAAGGTGAGCTTGTTGTCAGGGTCCTGTTTGTTACTGCTTGTGTTTTCCACTTGCTCAGCACGAATGAATTCTCCACCTGTTCTTCAGAATAATTTAAGGTGGAATGATGTACGCTATGTCTCAGTGTGGATCGATGAAAAAAAACTTCCACCCACATACAAGGCAAATCTAGCTTTGTTTTGTATGTTTTCCTCCCTGATTGTGTCCATGCTGTTATTTGTTTTCCTCCTGTCTCTCGCTGTCCTTTCTTTGTTTTTCTCTTCTTCGTCTGCTGCCTCTGTTTTTTCAAAGCTCTCTCTGTGTACTGTATTTCTCTCTTTATCTGTTTCTTTTTCTTTTTGTCTCTTACCAGTCTATCTGTATCATTTTGTCCGTCTGTCTTATTCTGCCCACATCTTTTTCTGTCTGTCTCTCTGTCTCCTGGGTTGTTGGATTCGTCTGATTATGCTTCTCTCCATATCTGACCTGATCCTATTTCTTTCTCTTTCTTGTTTCTCTTCATCTCTGTTTTTTCCGACTCTTCACCCACTCGATCCGTCTTTATTCTGCCACCGTCTCTCCGCTGCCTGTCTGTCTTTCAGGCTGTGGCGTCTTTCTTCATGTTTTTTTTTTTTTTTTTTTTTGCTGCTTGGCTCCGGTCCACAAAGTTATGGGAGGCTAAGTGTTTGTACAGCCAATGGCAAGATGAGCCTTATAAATGCGCTGAGCATATAGACGTGATGTATGACACCCTACGTGACTGCTTTGGTAAAGAAGCAACATCCTGCTGCAAAGGACACATGCCCTCAACTGACACACACCCACACACACACACACTGCATGTGTGTGTGTGTGTGTGTGTGTGGGTGTGTGTCAGTTGTAAAACAACAATGAAATCTCAATGCCAAGTCATTTGCTGCTGCATTAAAAGGAACCATTGCCGATGTGTGTGTGTGTGTGTGTGTGTGTGTGTGTGTGTGTGCTGGCCTTGCCACCACGTTAACGCTTTGTGTCCTGGATTTTTTTCCCCCTCCCTTCCTCTCTCTGCAGTTGCCATGGCAATGCACCAAGAGGCTCCATCATGTGTCTGAGCCTGTGACCGCAATTTTTTACAACAGCTCACAAGCACCGGCTTTGTGTGTTTATATTTTTTCCGTCTTAATTTAGCATTTGATCATGTTGTCGGTACCCTGAGGTGTCGCTGAACGGGGAGTGTTTATTGAGCTTGTTTGTCTAAATTAAAGTGTTTGGGATATCGAGTTTTCTTCAGGTGAAGATTCGGTTGAATCATGATAAGGAAATTGATTGAAATTTTTAAAAATTGATTAAAAATGTCAGCCTTTTCTCCCCAATGTGGATGAATGTCAGAGCTACATTCTCACATCCAGAGCATGATATTGCTTTACAGAAGTCCATATAATACAGCGTTGTGACAGGAGGGATCATCAGACAGAATAAAAATACAATTAAAATTAAAGTAACGTAATCTCCAATCACAAAAATGTGGACATCTTTGTTGGATGGCATTAGTACATCCACACTGTGGGTGCTGCAGGTGCAGCATATAGTGGTGTAGTTTAATGTCCAGCAGGGGTTCCCAAATTGTTCTGCTTGTGAACCTTTGAAACTGAATGTCTTCAGGTTGTTTATGTCGGAGATAAGATCAACTAAAGAGCAATATATATATATTTGATCTGTTTTTTTCATGTATAATTTTCAGAGGCTTTAAGAGGTAAAGTCATCCAGTGGTGTGCAAGTAAAAAAGCAAAGGACAGAGGAACATCTGACAAAGAAAGTATACTTTTGCATAGCGTGAAGAACTTTCCTGACCACTCATATTGAGCTTGCGACCCATTGGGGTGTCCCGTCCTTCAGGTTGGGAATCACCGCTCTAAAGTATCCATTAGCAGTAATGAACAATGGGCTAATTAGACAAAAATAGATTACATGCGTGACATTGTGTAGGAATATGAGGTAGTATTTAACACGCCAAATCTGAAAAGCGTCCTGATACAATATAGCACAGAGGCAGGTTTGGTGGGATCGACCCAAAACAGAAAAGGTTACAGGCACGTTCCCAAAACCTCCACAAATAGCCACGTGAGCCCCCTGGCTGATCAATCATTGTGCTGGACAAATGATAAAAAAAAAGTAGCCAGGCCTGGAGAAAGAGTCAGCCTGGGCTCTGCAGCCGATTTCATGTTGTCTCTCTCACGGGCTCAGTTCCATTTTTTACAAGGAAAAGGAAGTAGAACAAGGCTGTTAACCGAGAGGACTGACCGGGGAGACGAACCGTGTCTGATCAAGTCTTATCCATCAATTGCTCCATTCTTATATGTATTATTATGTCAATGTCATTCACCATGTCATGCATTTTAAGGGTACCTGCTACATACTGGTAATTCTACATTTTTCCAGGTTTGAAAAAGAAAATCAGTCTGATTTTGGATAGTATCCATTGTTTTGTGGTGATTCATGCCTAAGGTGTTGGGTGGGTGTTGATCGGTTCAACCTGGCTGTCTGTGACCTACAGACAAAACCAGCCCGTCGGCCAACATGCAGTTATGTTTTGGACTGTGCGATGATATTATCGTTTATGGTTACTCCAGTTGATTACATCATAATAACTATCTCTTATTGAGACATCTTGGCTTGTAATCCTTATCTCTAATGAAAACAATCAGAGCATTAGATCTTAAAATCTTGAAAAAAAAATTTAAGATAATTAAAAAATTGCTAAAAACCCAATATAACAATGCATGATTTATTTTTGCTTTTATCACCTGTTTTTGAATACTTCAGATAATGAATTGATATAAAGATGATCCTGTGGTTATATTATCACAGTATTAATGCTGTCTGCATCAATGATGCCCAGCCATGGTCATGGAGAAGACCTCTTGTGTTGTGCTCTATTGTCAGTCTCGAAGTTTACTTCAGGGAATGCAGGAATTACACATACACACACACACAAAAGTTTATATAAGCATGTTCTGCAAGTAGGCTCGGCCTTCCACTTGCAGACAATGCTTGAATAAATACCAGTTAGCCGGGTTTTATTGGTGTTTTGACTAGAACCTGTTTTATATTGTATATCGTTCACTTTTGATGATTTCACTGCATTGCAGTCAAATGAAGGTTCTTTGTCTTCTTGGATTTTTGTATATTTAATATGACTTTCTGTAGCGGCCACCTCCATTCTTTATTTCATTCAGCAACACTGACTATTGATGGTCATGCCACCTGTCGTTCTTTTTTTATTTATTCCAAACACAGACATACAAAACGTCACTTCCTGTGCCTTTTCTTCCTCTGCATGAAAGACCTGTCTGACACACTGTGTTCAGAGCAGCAAATGTAAAAGCTTCCCTGAACTCAGTACTGGATGAATCACCGTTGAACGATGCCAGTCGGCAACAAGTTATTATTCAGACATCAGTCATCTGCACTTAAAGCTCAGTCTATAGTTGCACTGGCTGTGAGTCACAGCAGGAAATACGAAAAAAAACAACAACGTTCAAGCTGGGAGGTGGGTTTCCAGTAAAAAGTGACCTGATGGGCTACCTAACTTTCATCCCACTGTTGTGTTTACAGGCCTGAGACCCAGCAGAAAGCCCCGGTGAGTGCCCCTCCTCCCCCGCCGCCCCCTCCGCCTCCCCCTGAGCCGGCAGGGCCCCCGGAGCCAGAGGAGGAGATCCTGGGCTCCGACGATGAGGAGCAGGAGGACCCCGCGGACTACTGCAAAGGTCAGAGTGACAAACGAGCAGACGGACAGAGCGACACCTACTCATCCGTCCCAGCTCACCATAACTGTCGTACAGAGCTCAACAATGTCTCACACGGTCTCCTCTCTCTGCTCATATCCATAATTCTTTTCCTCATTTCTCCCTTCACCCCGATGGGATTTGCAGCAGCGTCGTTGTAGCCATCAGTGTGTAGCGCTCGGTAGTTGTGACACCAGCGTTTGGCGGCTGTTTTGTTGTTGCCAGAAAGGAGTGGCAGTCTAGAGTCCTGCAGTGGTTTAGGATGCCAGAGGCTTGTTGGCTAAGAGGTTTATTGTTTTCACACAGCTCTGCACAGTTTCAAAATGCTACACCCATTCTGTCAACACAGAAAATGACACCTCACTTATCATTCGATATCTGCAGCCGTAGTGTTTTAAGTTTGAATTTGCTGTTATCATTCTAAATATACCATGGTGTCTTTTAATTATATGATATAGTACATCATGACATTTTGGATGAAAAAAGTAAGTACAACATTATTTATGTTGACTTCTTTTCACTGGCTCTTAACAAGTTAAAAAAGCCCCTCATGTGTTAGCTCTGATATTATTTCTTTATGGACATTTTAAGACATTTTTAAACCAAGTTGTAACCCTCTTAGGAGAACTATAGTATATTATATATTATATTAGGAGCTGCAGTAGTAGCAGTAGTAATAGTATTCGTTGTAGTGTTCTTTGTACATATTTTGGACTGCCTACCCTTCTTGTGTCTGTGCTTCTTCACTTAAAATTACTCAATTCACCAAGTTTGTGTTCAATAAAATACACCTACAACAAATGAAACCCTGGCAAGCTAGACTTCTCTCTGTGCCAGCTGGTAGTGTCATCGCGGCAACAACAAAGAGGATTCTGATGTCTCATTGAGGTAAACATATTCAGCTCCAGGTTGAAGCATTACAAACAATTACTGAATTATTATTTGTTCAAACACTTAATAAGCGCCCCTCCCCCCCCTTTTGTGACAGACATAAAATAAAATGTTCTTTCATTAACATCACAATCCTGGTCTCTTCTGAAAGGCAACTTTTTGGAGTTAATTATCATTAAGTCGGAATTACCGTAAGTTATATTGAACCAAATTTACTGATGCACATATACAGTTAAGATGTATGTTCCTTGTTTTACCTATACTGTTCTGTTTTGTATGCACTCCTGTTACAAAATATGCAACTGTGATATTGGTTTCTCAGAGTGGGTCACGGATGCCTAACAGATTAATAAAAGCTACACTGTGTGGCCTACACCTTATCTATATTCTGTATTCATGTTTCTACAATATTTACAAAAAGAGGCAGCGTGTAAAAGTCTACACATTTGGACAGTCTTCAGCTCACGGTTATGGTGTCAGCTGCCAGGCAATCGCAATCAGAGTAGTCAGCTAATTGACACAGGTGCAGTCAAGCAGACAGGTGTGTACAAAATTAGGTCAATTCTAACGAGGCGTCAATTTCAAGTCCATCATAAATAATCGATAAAATTGGATATTCACAAACATTCATACGTTGTTGATTTATTTTCTTTTTTTTAAAGTATTCGTTTCAGCATTTATGTTCTCAGCTAGTTTTTGTTTAAATGTTTATGCTATTCTTTCCCCCCACTTCTTCTTTTTCTTTTAATTAATCCACAACGCTTCTCCCCCGTCTCATCTTCTGCCTTGTTTGACGTCCCTCCCTCTCTGCTGCTGTCGCTCCACTTCTTACTCACAATGTCACAATGTCTCACAATGTCATTGCCTGGTTATCACCAACAGTCGCCTGTAACCTTCATCCTCGCTCTCTTTATCCCTCTCAGGAGGGTACCATCCGGTGAAGATCGGGGATTTGTTCAACGGGAGGTACCATGTGATCAGGAAGTTGGGGTGGGGCCATTTCTCCACCGTATGGCTATGCTGGGACATACAGTAAGACACACACACATACACACACACACACCACAAACATGTCATGACCCAGAAAAAGCCCTTAACACACCCCGTCACACACACATGCACACAGAGGCTCTTCTTGCAGTCCTTCACTTCACCTTGCTGTCTTTCTCACACACACATGCTCGTCACATAAACCACACACACCACGCATATACCTGTTGACCTTAGCTGGCACGTTACCAGGACGAGGGTTGCAACCAACTCCAATTTACGCTGGCACCAAAGCCATCCATTTGCACTATAATGTTGTTGCTGTACTCTCGTGGCAACCAGGGTGTCTGGATGACGGTATCACGAACCCAGTGTCACCTTTCACACACTCACACACACACACACACACACACTAATTTACTCATGTCACTGGTTTTAATTACTCTGTTGGTGGTCATAAACCAGTGAGGGGGAGTTGGGTTACTTAAAGCACACTTTACAGTCAGTCACAGTCCTTGACAAAAGGTCATATTCAGTATTTAAATATTAAGACTTGGGTTGTGTTCTTTCCTACCTCCTCACATGCAATCATTTACAACTTTACTGTTTTGGCTCAACCTCGCCCCTTCTCATAGCATCCCTGTCGTCCACAGGAGGCAGCTGTGACTGTACACTTCCTGCTCAGTACCAGTTATAGACCACGGTGAACATAGTGGAGCATTTAGCAGCTAAAGAGCCAGATATTTCCCCAGGAGTTGGTAGAGACCAAACACAGAGCTAAAAAAGAGTGACTATTATTAATAATAATAGTCACTCCAAATGAATGATCATTTTTCTCAGTCACTGACCGATTATTTGCAAACAAGTTTGTCATATTAACTTAAAATGTGATATGTCAGTGTTGTGTTCATCACTTGTTTCTGCTGCCCCCAAGTGGCCCAAAAACACACAAAACTCTTATTGCAGGTTTAATGCTTCTGGTAGATTTCTACTCATTTGCATAACTTATCATATGCTTTTAAAAGAATACAGTATTTATTGCTTTGTACTGAAAAATATTAGATTCTTGTAGTTAAGCTGAAAGATTTGCAGGAATATGTAATTAAAAAAATGATTGTAATATCAAACGATTTGTGTATATGGTCTTTTATATTTCTCTTGTAAATCTCTTTAGATATATCTATATATGTTATAATATACAGTACAGTAGGTAGTACTGAGACTGGCAGGCTGATGAAATATTGAATCTGCAAAGACTGGGTGGTGATGGGGAGGTGGAAGTTTGCACGTAATGGAAAGGGAGTCATATTTAAAAGAGACAGCAGCAAGATGATAGGCTAAAAATGGAGGTGTGATGCTGTGCTATTGGATGGGCAAGACCAGCTGATGAGAAGAGCTGATATCACGACTGACAGCCCCGAACTGTTACAGCAAGGAAGTTAAGAGTAAGCATGTGTGAGAGAGAGAGAGAGAGAGAGAATGACCGGATATATTAGAAATAAACTACAGGCCTAAACATGCACAAGACTAGTCTTCCTGACTGAACTTACGCTCGAGCTTCATTTGGTGAATAAAGCATTGAGTATTAATGTTGAAATGCCACATTTGCATTTCCAATGGCAGTGTGGGCAGTGTGAACGGTATGTGATATGCAAATGTGTAATAAAGGCACGGTGAGGGACATTTTATTACTATATCAGTCACAGATATTGATGCACACGTTAATCTGCATTACTGGCTTTAACGACCCATTAGTAAGACAATGACTGCATGTTTCTGTGTTTGTCATTACAGAGTGAAGAACTTTGTGGCGATGAAGGTGGTGAAGAGCGCCCAGCATTACACAGAGACGGCCCTGGATGAGATCAAGCTGCTGCGATGTGTGAGAATCTGATTAGTTTGAAGTGTTTGGGAATCTTATTCTTTTCATCGTTTTTGTTTTGTTCCATTGTTTGTTCCTTTTTGCGTTTAGTGTTTCCTACTTCTTCTTATCATCCTTTTCTTCTCTGTTTCTCCATCCTTTTTTCATCCTCCTAATATGCCTCCCTCTTTCCTCCCTCCTCACACCTTTCATCTCCCCACTGTGTTTCTCTGTGAACAAGAAACACTAAAGATACACTGGTCATTTATCTTGCATGGTGGGTGCAGAGGACAGTCATCTTAGAATCTATTTTTCAGCATCTGTATCTCCCACGTCCATCTCCCTTGTCCTCTTCCTTTCCTGCTCTCTTTTCCTCTACCTTTCCAATTCTCCTTCAGTCCTCCCATTCCCTCTTTCTTTCCTTTTTTCTTCTTGTCTTTCCTGTTTTGGTGTCATTCTTCTTTCATTTTTCTTTCTTTCTTTATCCTACTTCCTCTTCTGTTCCTTCCTCCTGTCATGTTCGCTTCATCTCTTTGTCTTCTTTTGCTCCAGGTGAGAGAGAGCGACCCCGGCGACCCCAACAAGGACATGGTGGTTCAGCTGATAGATGATTTCAAGATCTCTGGAGTCAACGGCATACGTATCCCGATCAGAGGAGTGTGTGTGTTAGTATGTGTGTGTGTGTGTGTGCTTGACAGAGACATGATAATGTGAGTCCTTGACTCTTCGTCCCAGATGTGTGTATGGTGTTTGAAGTGCTAGGTCACCACCTGCTGAAGTGGATTATTAAATCCAACTACCAAGGTCTGCCGCTGCCATGTGTCAAGAGCATTATCAAACAGGTAAGGACACACACACGCACACACATACACACACACACACACATACAAACTAGATCTATTTATAGAAAATATATCAGACAACGCTGACTCTATTTTCACAAAATTTGAATAAATCATGTATCTGACCACTGCGATTGACATTACATGGATTTTTTTGGGAGAGTGCATTACAGGTCAAACATTTATTAAAGGCGCATAATACGAGATTGGGAGCATTTTAATTGCTGAGAGGGAACCGGAGGATGTGTGCCACGCTTCCTCGGATGCCATTATCAGCTGTAATCGCCATATAAAAGCAGGGCAGAGAGGCGGCCGTGTGCAAGCCAGTTAGACGCGCTCACATGCATGAACATGCACTGAATACATTTGCGGGTGGCCTAGCTATTTTAACAAAAAATGGAAAATGATAAATACAATGGTGAAAGGGTTCAAATCTACACTTCACTTAGATCTAACCATTGCAGGTACAGTAATAGTCATCTTTGTCTTGTTGAATAATCGTGCAAATAGATATAATTAAAATAAATATTATATAATATATAACATGGAGTTCATGAATCTAACATTTAAAAACATGGTGGAGTTTTTTTTGCATTTATTGACAAATTGCCAACCCATGTTGTTTGGGTTCCGTTTGTGTTCGGAGATTTTCTCCAATCAGCAAACGCATGACGTCAGGCTTTTCACTGTGTTCATTGTGACAAGTGATTAGCTTTAACAATCTTTTTGATAGGACTTAGGCATGACGCACCTAAAACTCAGCTGTAGTCTTCTAATTCTGTGATGCAGAGGTACTTTAAACTTACAGTATTTCTATCTAGAATTCCTCGGGGGGAGGGTTGTGAAGAAAACTTGGTCACGGACTATAAAAGATTGACTTGATGAAGAAGTCTAATATATAAAGAGCAAAAGACTGACTCACACAGCAAAATTCACACTCAAAAAGGCCTAATAATGATTATACAGCGCATGCTATTGTGCACTTCACACTTCAGTACCACTGCCATCCAAAGACGCAGTGCTTTCAGGCATTTCCCCTTCAGCCACCTGATGAGCATGTGAAGTTGTTGAGCCGTTTCAGCCGCTGCCAGCCTCCCGCCTCTTGAAAGCCAGGCTGAAGATGAGTACAAAATTAAATGAGACTGTTCCCAGCTTCAATCTCAAAAGCCTCTGGACAGAAACAAATGAGAGAATCAGTGAAACAAAAACATCAACAGCCTCTCCTCTCCGCCCTCAGAGAATGACAAGCATTAGAAGAATGGTTCATTTGGCTCTGGGAAAGAGAGAAGGAATCAAAGGGAGGGAGATAGAGACGGACTGCATTTCTTTTAGACTGTATAAATGCCTCAACAAGAAGTGTGATTATGTTGTTCAGCAATAAAATCTGTGTTTATCTGAATGTGTTTGTAGGTGCTGCAGGGTCTGGACTACCTCCACACTAAATGTAAAATCATCCACACGGACATCAAGCCAGAGAACATCCTGATGTGTGTAGATGACGCCTTTGTTAGGCGTATGGCCATGGAGGCGACCGAATGGCAGAAAGCTGGAGCCCCCCCACCGTCTGGATCAGCAGGTAGACGCCGACACTATGTTTATTTTAAGGGGAATAGAGCAACATTTTGGGAAGTTTGATTTCTTGGTGAGAGTTGATGATGAGAAGAGGCTAGACAGGCTAGCTGTTTCCCCTTGTCTCCATTCTTTATGCTAAGTTAAGCTTCGTGTACAGACATGAGAGACGTCGATCTTCTTACCTAACTCTCTTCACGAAAGCCTGTAAAGATATTTCCCGAAAGTATTTCTTAGTGTTGCAATTTACATATGTTTTTCCCAAAACTTTGCCATCTCCACAGCACTGGGTCAGCACTAAAGAAAGGTCTGGCTCCATACATTATCATTATTGTATCGCTGGAAAAACATCTTGTTTGTATTTCTTTTAACCGATCACAATAGTCTCGGGCAGCGCTTAGAACAGGATGCAGCGACGGCGCGCTTGCAAAATAGATAACAGAAGGAGAGAAGAATGCTGTCTGGAATAGGAGGCTTAAATCCACAGTCTACATCAGGGAGTCAGTCTAGGTAAAGGGAGAAGCTGACAGTACATGTAGGAGGTTAATTGCTCATATTCCTGCTTTGAAATTGGTATCTATAGTCAATGCAAATATATCATGAATAATCAAAGATTTAATAAATCTTCTTTTGTTTGATGTGTTTAATGAATGAAAAAACGTCCATGTTTAATATCGAAGCGCTCAGTAAAGAAAAAGGATTCACGAGAGAAGCCTTTTGTGCCTTCCCAGATTCTTGCTTTTTCATCTCCCTTCACCAAGTTCCTCTACTGAAGAAATCAAGTTCTTAACAAAACAGTCTCGACAAACTCGACATGAACCCTGTCCTCCCGGTGAACCCCGACTTGAGCTGTCAATTGCTTGCATCAGCGGATGGAGTCTCTTTGAGCCTTAGGGTGACCAATTATACTGCTTACATTTCTACACAAATGAAGGGAGGCGCACAACCATCAACTGTCACAACAGAAGCGCTTTGTGGTGGTGTTGATTGAAGAGGCCAATTAAGTCATTAACATAAGTGCAGATGTGTTTTTTAGCAAAATGTCTCTTATTTCTGCTTGTGTCATTTGACATTTGTGATGTGTTTCAGAACAGATTGAAGGTATGGAGGATTATTGCACTTGCTGAGCTGCTAA